GTATTAGCAGGAGTGCGGTTAAGTACCAACCATTCCACTAATCCCTATTTAAATACACAACAGTTATATTAAAGCCCATTGAATGGGATCATCTGATCAGAAGCATTTCCAAGTATGTTCTCCTCCGGAGAAAGGATACCTTTGTCACCGGACAGAGGCTTTCTTGCGGAAATCTGGGTCACAACGCACTAGGGTTGTGGAGTGGCTGCCTTGCTTCAATGGGTCAGGGCGGAAATGAACTTGCTGACCCTACTCCCTGGCTTTCAGTCACTAACTGTGCACAGAGCCCTATATGTTCCCCCCCCCCCATGCATAGATGCTGAACACGAAATCTGTAGCCACGGTTATTGCAGGGTACAGATCATGCATTTAGGATGCAGGTCACATTCCAGCCAATGGAGGGAGCCTGTGGTGTAGGTGTGCAGGATACCCATGAAGGGTTAAGACCACAGAGTAGGCTGTCCTGCCCGGCTTAGCTAGGTCACTTCATTTCACCTTGGGAGGAAAGGTTACCAAACTCTTTGTTCTCTCACACATTCCACATGCTACTAGCAAGGCAGTCTAAGCCGGATGCACCAAGTTTAGGCTGCGTGGCTTAAGCAAGCAACATTGGTGCTTCTATACAAATAATTTTGAAACATTTGCCATTTGGGAACCAAAGTCATACTGCCTGTTTCTTCCTGCTGCTGCTGCTGCGTGGAAAAGCACATGAATCTGACCTTTGAGGAGTTTGTCAGGAAACCATTTTTAACTGACCAACTATAGGATGCTAGAAATGGCATCCTAAGAAGAAGCAGACAATGCAAGGCAGTAACAGCTGAAAATAGGATAGTGGAGATGCCACATCACTCTGATCCCCTGGCTTCCCCATGCGCACAAGGGCCTGACATGCACACAAAGGTAAGCAGGTACATATTTTCTTCAGTGGGGCTGCCTGCATAAAACTTTCTCTCATACTGAGAGTCCTGGGTATGTGGAGAACCCTCCAGAGATATGCCACTCGTTTCAAGTTGCTACCAGGCCCTGATGAGACACAAAGTCTTTTCAAAGACGGCACTTGAAATTCTTTAAAGATCCTCCTACAGCTGCCAGTTCTCTTTCAAGTCCATTTGATTCATCTCAAGAGGCCCTGCATCTATGAAATTCATTGAGGATCAGCCCGCCCCAAAAGAAAATGATTAAGGAAACCCTTTAATTTGGGGGAGGACGAAAGAACAAATGGGGAAATAGGACTGGATCTTAATTCTTTGCAGGTTTCTTTTTTAAAAAAAAAAAACCTCTCCCCAGAGGATCGTCCCTTTTCAAGTTTTGGTGAAATCTGACATTGCGTTTCAGATGGTGTGTTACCGCAAAATCTTCTCAATGTCAGCTCTGGCTTGCATCTCACGAGGGATCTTTAAAAGTAATTCGTTTGCACAGATTGTCTCACTTTCCCCACATATGCATATTTCCCCCTTAATCTTTCCCCCCCTTTTTCCCTTTGATGATGCGAGTTTTCTATTAGAACACTGAGCATATTGGACATTTTGAAGTGATGCCTTGTTATTGACTAAGACAAAGGAAATGCAGGCAGGGAGGCACACATACACAACATGCAAGCAAGCAAACAGGCAGAGACCTCAGCTTTTCTCACCCCAGCCCTGCCTCCTAGGAAGAACTTCTTCTACCGGGTCGTGGGTTCAAGCCCCACGTTGGGCAAATAGATTCCTGTGTTACAGGAGGTTGGACTAGATCAGTGTTTCCCAACCTTGGGCCTCCAGCTGTTTTTGAACTACAATTCCCATCATCCCTGACCACTGGTCTTGCTAGCTAGGGATGATGGGAGTTGTAGTCCAAAAACAGCTGGAGGCCCAAGGTTGGGAAACACTGGACTAGATGATCTTTGGGATCCCTCCCAACTCTACAATTCTATTATTATATCAGGAAATGCTATCACTGCTTCTATAGGTAAAGGTAAAGGGACCCCTGACCATTAGGTCCAGTCGTAGACGACTCTGGGGTTGGGGCGCTCATCTCGCTTTATTGGCCGAGGGAGCTGGCGTACAGCTTCCAGGTCATGTGGCCAGCATGACTAAGCCGCTTCTGGCGAACCAGAGCAGCGCACGGAAACACCGTTTACCTTCCCGCCACAGCGGTACCTATTTATCTACTTGCACTGGCATGCTTTCGAACTGCTAGGTTGGCAGGAGCTGGGACAGAGCAATGGGAGCTCACCCCATGGCGGGGATTCAAACCGCCGACCTTCTGATCGGCAAGCCCTAGGCTCTGTGGTTTAACCCACAGCGCCACCCGCATCACTGCTTCTATAGGAACAAGCAAATAAAGATGCCGAGCAGCTGAGTGATCTTTTTTCACCTAGCCTTGGAGCTGTATGCAGACAAGCATTATTAGCCCCACTAAAATGTTCAAATGTGGTTTAAAAACCACATTTCTTCCCTGTACTGTGGCCCGATCTTTGAAATCCACCAGCGATGTACATCTGGTGGTCCCTGACAGTGTTAGATTGTCCTCAACCATGAATTGTGCATTTAGTGTGGTGGCCTCGGGGTTATGGGATTCTCTACCGAGTGAAACAAAAGCTGGATGAGAGTTTTAGGCACTCATTTCGGCAAGCTTCCTCAGGAACATAATTTGCTCTTTTTGCCAAGCAAACCTGTTCTGCTCTTCGGCTTCTTCCACGTGTTTTCCTTCCATTTTGTTTAGCTACCGTTGTTTTGGTTTCGAGATCTTTTGCACTGCATAGATCAGGCATGGCCAAACTTGGCCCTCCAGCTGTTTTGGGACTACAACTTCCATCATCCCTAGCTAACAGGACCAGTGGTCAGGGATGATGGGAACTGTAGTCCTAAAACAGCTGGAACGCCAACTTTGGCCATTCCTGGCCTAGATATATTTTACATGAGTTTTGGGTATAGCAATGATAGATTGAATAATATCCACGTTTGTGACTGCAATGCACCTTTCAATCGGGGCTGAGTTCACAATGCAGGATAATAATAATTTAATAACAATTTATTATTTATACCCCACCCATCTGGTGAAGTGAGCTGTTTCAGTTGGCAACATGGGAGGGTGTGTGTTAGATGAAGGCAGGAATTGGTGTCTGAGTGATGCAGAAAGGCTTTTACAAATAAAATGTGATCGTTCAGCCCGGACACTGAGATCCAGCACTGAGGGCCTTCTGGCGGTTCCCTCATTGCGAGAAGTGAGGTTACAGGGAACCAGACAGAGGGCCTTCTCGGTAGTGGCGCCCGCCCTGTGGAACGCCCTCCCTTCAGATGTGAAGGAAATAAACAACTATCTGACTCTTAGAAGACGTCTGAAGGCAGCCCTGTTTAGGGAAGTTTTTAATATTTAATGCTGTATTGTTTTTAACACTTGATTGGAAGCCACCCAGAGTGGCTGGGGAAACTCAGCCAGATGGGCTGGGTATAAATAATAAATTATTATAATATTATTATTATTATTATTATGGTGATAATAATTCCAGATGAAGCAACGTAGTGTGTGCTCTCTGTGTGCACCATTTGGGCTTCACTTCAGGCAACATAATGTTTTGGACTGGCACTATTTTTAGTGAAAGGAAAAATCTGGACTCCTATAGCAATGCCTACACTATTTGGGTGCCAAAACCCCTTGCCTACAACCAGTATTGGAATGTATGATGAGGCACAGCTGCCCTCTCAATACTGAACCACCTAGAGGAGGGGTAAGGTGGGACAAGGCAATGGAGAGGTTGGGTCAACTAGGATATCAGGTTATGCCAAGGATCTTAAAATCACCTCGCATCTGGCAGTGAGACTCACGATACGTCATAATTCCAATTTTATTCTAGCACAGCTGTTATTGATGTGACTGGAGTGTTTAGCCCTCCGATTTCGTGTCTCCCCATGAGAAAATTGCTTTGACTATACTATCGGTATATTACAAAAAAAAAACACCACCACAATCATAGAACCCAGCAAGATATTATTCAATTAGTTTTTATCTTGGTGCTTCAAAGGAACAGACTAGAGCTGTGTTTCCAACGGTTTGGTGTTTCAAAGGAACGTGCTCCAACAGTTTGGTAACCAAAGTCCCGCTGACTGAACTGTCACGACTAAAACTTAAGAAGTTACATTTCAGCTCAGCACCTTAATTTTACAGATATGCATTGCTGTTATAATTCAGAGAGCAGTTCAGCTGGAGGCTGATTTTGCTACCTGCATGAAAGATAACACATTGGTCACTAGGGCTGGGCGATATCTGGCTTTCAACATTGTGATATATCAACAGCTAAACTTCACAGTATCACGATGTCTGAACTAAGGATGGAGCTATGGCTGGCTTCACGGTTTTCCCCACACAGTGAATTTTTTGTGGCACCTCCTCCTGCGATCCGCTGCCCCTTGCATGAGGCAGGGGAGAACTGTGCTGGCAGAGGTCACAGGGGCTGCAGGACTCGAGAAAATCATTGGCATACACACACAGAGACAAAAACGTCATGATTTGAGATACCGTATTTTTTGCTCTGTAAGACTCACTTTTTCCCTCCTAAAAAGTAAGGGGAAATGTGTGTGCGTCTTATGGAGCGAATGCAGGCTGCACAGCTATCACAGAAGCCAGAACAGCAAGAAGGATTGCTGTTTTCACTGCACAGCGATCCCTCTTGCTGTTCTGGCTTCTGAGATTCAGAATATATTTTTTTCTTGTTTTCCTCCTCCAAAAACTAGGTGCGTCTTGTGGTCTGGTGCGTCTTTTAGAGCGAAAAATACGGTATATTTCCAGGTCAAAAATTATGAAACTGATATCACGATATGGACTTCAGACAGGTTTGGGACGATATATCGCCCAGCCCTAGTGACCACATTTATTAAAACATGCACCTCACATGTAGATCGCATTTTTATATTGCCAGAAGCCTTTTAACCACCCCACTCCCTACTAACAGAAACATTGTTGTCCGCTGTTTTCCAGATAATGCTATTAATTGCATTCAGACAGTTGATAGTGCTACTCACTTGATGAAGTATTTGATTCCATCTGCTGTATAGGCCTCTTCCCATCCATAAGGCAGACCTAGATGGATGTCAAGGGGGGGGGGGGACAAAATAAAAACCCATCACAAATCTAAGTCAGCCCTTTCAAGCATAACATGGATCTGCATTTCTGCCTGTTATAAATATGCACTCCGATAATGAAAAGTTAGGTATAAATCAATAAATAATAAGTTATTTATTATTTATGACAATATTCATATACATTAGGTACAATATAGAGGCGATATGCATTTTAAAAAACACAACCTAAAACTAATGTAACGGTATAAAAGCATATTGTAACAATTATAGGGGTTGCTCGTGCGTAAGTTGCCGCCACTCCTGGCTAGGGTGCCTGGTTAAGCCTTTTCTGTCTGGACAGCCCTTCACTTCGTGGCTGTTTCAGTCGCTAGCAGAATCCGTCAGTGGGCGTTTCTTAAACCTTCTCCAGCATAAAAGCTGTTTGACGCCAAGTCTCCTCCTACTCTCCCTGTGCGGAAGTCTTCTGCGCAGGGAGGGTGTGGGTAGTGGAGGACCCGTGCTCTCCCTGCTGGTCTCCGGCGAGGAGTCCTGGAGCCCCCTCGCCGATTCCCCCATCTGCCCCCCCTTTATCCCTGGTATTACGCTGATTTCCTTCCCCAGCTGATGAGCTGCCTCTCTCCCTGCTGGGCCCTTCTCCAGCATCACTTGGGAGCCTTGCCTCCGCCTCTGGCTCCGATGTCAGTTCCCTGACACATATATAAAAGGAGGGGGGGAAATTGATACATGGGCAAAAAGATAAGTCTCTGCAAGACAAGTGAAGCAACTGATGTTTGCTGTTTCACAAACGGCAGAGAGAATGGCATTCTGCAGTACAGGGACAACAGGAGAAAGCTCCCGTTTTCAGGTGTCCCCCCCCCCCGATAGTCTGTAAAGTGTAGTGCCTGAAGTCAAATTTCCCCAGATAATCTCAGTGATCCTACAAGTCTCTGCAAGGACAGGAGGTCTGTCAGCGGACAGAGCCCCAAGAAATATGTGTGTGAGAGAGAGACAGAGAGAGAATCTATATGTATATTTGAATGATTTCCCATATATGTGTGTATGTGTCTTTTTTCAGCTGAATCTTGCTGGCGCGGCTGCCGAGACCACATAACACTGGTCTTGAAAGACCTACATTGGCTCCCAGTATGTTTCTGAGCACAATTCAAAGTGTTGGTGCTGACCTTTAAAGCCCTAAACAGCCTCAGCCCAGTATACCTGAAGGAGCCTCTCCACCCCCATCGTTCTGCCCAGACACTGAGGTCCAGCTCCGAGGGCCTTCTGGTGGTTCCCTCACTGCGAGCAGCGAAGTTACAGTGAACCAGGCAGAGGGCCTTCTCGGTAGTGGTGCCCGCCCTGTGGAATGCCCTCCCATCAGATGTCAAGGAAATAAACAACTATCTGACTTTTGGAAGACATCTGAAGGCAGCCCCGTTTAGGGAAGTTTTTAATGACTGATGTTTTAATGTATTTTAATTTTTTTGTTGGAAGCTGCCCAGAGTGGCTGGGGGAACCCAGCCAGATGGGTGGGGTATAAGTAATAAATTAAATAGCACTCTCACACATGTGTGTATACACACACACACCACAATTCGTTTAATAATTGTAAACAGTGCTATTTTTCTAGAAAAAGAGGTGCCGGAACTCATCACAAACTCCTCTCTCATTCTCTTAAAATGGCAATGGCGCCCACCTGAGAGGTGCCAGAACTAGGTTCCGGCAAGTTCTGGCTCAAAAGAAAGAAAGAAAGAAAGAAAAAAGAAAGAAAGAAAGAAAGAAAGAAAGAAAGAAAGGAGCCCTGATTGTAAACCTGTTTTTTTATGCTTTAGTAAAGTGTCCTTCAAAATAATTGCATTCAGCAGCCATAAGCACTGTACTGTCAATGAAGTACTTGATTCGATCCCAGAAACTGTCAATACACAGCCAGAAGCGTGAATTCTGAGAACTGTCTGATTATTAAACAGCCAGGTGTCACCATATATAATGGTGTCATCTAAAATGAGTGGCAAACTGTCACCCCCCAATAATTACAAATCAGACACTTGCTTCTTTGGTAGCTGCCTCTCCAGCCATGACAATATTATCGTGGACTTCTCTTGAAGAATCAAAGATTACATTTTCCAAAGGTCTCAGAAAAAGGTAAGTTTAGGAGCAGTGCTGGGGAACCTGTGGGCCTTACAGATGTTGTTGGACTCCTTTTAAAATTTATTTGGTTTTTCAAATTAAAAATTTACAGTCATGTATCCAACTTACGACATAAAGACAAGATTCCAAGGAATAGCTCAGACTTTCCTCCTTTGGCAATCACTCATAGCCAAGTAAGATTGTCTTCCATTAACGCGGTTTTAAATATGAGTCTGTAAGTGACTGTGGAGGCCAATTCTGGATCCACACGTCCATCCACAGTGGGGACATTGGTTTCCGGGTGGGAGTTGATCACGGTGAGGGTTTGCCAAGTGTGCCTTCCTCTTAGCGCGTTTCTCCCTTGCGTCCTGAGTTTGAGTGTCTTCAAAGCCCATGACACCTTTGGTAAAGACTGTTCTCCAATTGGAGGTCCTATTGTTCATCATTTCCTCCTGCATCTTTTGTGATAATCCAAAATCTTTTACCTCTCCACTGTGTCCAAAATTCACCAATAAACTACAAGTGTTATTCCAAACCTACCGGAAGAATCAGAGATCAGGAAGGCCAAAATTTTAATAAGGAATGGGGGAAATGTATACTTTATCTGGGCACCACAGTTCAAGAAGGACACTGACAAACTGGAACGTGTCCAGAGGAGGGCAACCAAAATGGTCAAAGGCCTGGAAACGATGTCTCATGAGGAATGGCTAAGGGAGCTGGGCATGTTTAGCTTGGAGAAGAGGAGGTTAAGGGGTGATATGATAGCCATGTTCAAATATATAAAAGGATGTCATATAGAGGAGGGAGAAAGGTTGTCCTCTGCTGCTCCAGAGAAGCGGACACGGAGCAATGGATCCAAACTACAAGAAAGAAGATTCCACCTAAACATTAGGAAGAACTTCCTGACAGTAAGAGCTGTTCGACAGTGGAATTTGCTGCCAAGGAGTGTGGTGGAGTCTCCTTCTTTGGAGGTCTTTAAGCAGAGGCTTGACAACCATATGTCAGGAGTGCTCTGATGGTGTTTCCTGCTTGGCAGGGGGTTGGACTCGATGGCCCTTCTGGTCTATTCCAACTCTATGATTCTATGATTCTATCTTAAAAACCATTGTAAAAAGCTAAAAGCATTAGTAGGATTGGAATAACACTTGTCGTTTAATGGTGAATTTTGGACACAGTGGAGATGTAAAACATTTGGATTATCAGAAAAGATGCAGGGGAAATGATTAACAATAGGACCCACAAAGGGAAGGAGGGAAGTCCAAGAGATTCCTCGGAATCTTGTTTTTATGTTGTGTGCTGGATATGTGATTGTAAAACTTTAATCTGGAAAACCAAATAAATAAATTTATATAAAAAAGAAGATGGCAGGCAAACAGGGAGCAAGGAGGAGGCGGACCGGGGGGGGGGCTTGTTTTGGCCCCCTTCCTGGGGTGTGGGCCCCAGCAGGTATCTGACGCCAGCTTCGAGTGCCAATCCTGCTCCCAAGGCGAAAGAGTTGGAAACGCAAATTGCAGGCTTGCTCTACAGACAGCATCTAATTTTCTCCTGCACCGAGCGCGAATTTCCTCGTGAAGTGAGGGAAACGTTTCATCGCGCAGTTCATGAGCGCACATATTTCAGCTGGTGTACACAAACCCAGACCTTGACTCCTTACGAGCCTGCTATTCATTCGACAAAGGGCTACATTTACAGACTGGAATGCTGGCAACTTATACAAAGCCTGTTGATGGAAAACAACCCTCTCCCCCCCCCCCCGCTTTGCTTTCAGCCAACTCTCGGAAAGGGGCCCTGAAAGCTTCTGCGGGCTTTTTGTGCGCCGCAGACTGTTTCCAAAGCGCACAAAGCCACGGAGTTACAAGTGCACAGCTTAATTTGTAGCTTTGTGCCCCAAGTGCCAATTTGAAAAGAAATTCCTCCGTGATAATATTCCAGCCTTGATTGAATTTCTGTCTGGAGAAAGGAGCTTGGTTTCAACTGGGCAATTGACGCAGGCTATAAATAACCAAGCAATGCAAGCATTTTCAGGGAAAGTTAGCTAAGTGAGAAAGCAAATAGTTGCTTAGGATGAAACGCGGGAGTGACCAAGCTAATGTATTTTCACTTGTTTGTGCAAGTGACATGCCCGTTGTCGTGACACAACAACAGACCCAACAGAGATCTCTACCTCCCCGTCAGAAAGAAAATAGCCAAGCAGAAGCAAGACAAGCCACAGATCCATCAGGCTCTCTCTCTTTAAAATAAGAAAGTGTGGCAACCAGTCCACTTCAGTGTCAAGGGCCACCTTCTCACAATGTTCAAAATTTGACAGGAGCATTTTGCACCCGGCTATCGGCTGCTTGCAAGCAAGCGAAGATGACTTGGTGCCAGGGTGACACCTAATGTCTCCACCATTTGGAGGTGCATGCCTGGGGACGCTCGGATCCTGACTGTTTTCGCACACAAGCAACACATCCTGTAGAATTCTATCCGTGATATTTTAGCTGCACAATCAGAATGAATTTCAGGAACCAAAAACGTGACTTTCGAGCCGTCTGCCCCAAATATGGCAGCTAGGAAATTCCATTTTGGCAACTGTTAAGAAGGGTTTAAGGGGCCATTTGGTGCTTAGCTTATATATTTTGAGTTTCTAGCACTGCTTTCTCGTTTCCACGCCACCTCTACGAGACTTAGCACTGCACTTTGTGTGGGAGCCAGCGTGGTGTAGTGGTTAAGAGCGGTGGACTCGTAATCTGGTGAACCGGGTTCGCCTTCCCCTGACTCCCACATGCAGCTGCTGGGTGTCCCTGGGCCAGTCACACTTCCCTGAAGTCTCTCAGCCTCACTCACCTCACAGAGTGTTTGTTGTGAGGGAGGAAGGGAAAGGAGATTGTTAGCTGCTTTGAGACTCCTTAAGGGGAG